TTGCCTCTTCCTCCCAACATGTTTCTCAGTCTCTCTCGCTCTATTTTTACTTCTCTCCTAATCATCAGCAGCCACCCCGTTGATAAATTAGCCGAGGAAGGAGTTAAAGTAGGCCTATACTGAAATAATAAGTCTATTTCTGACGGTAGAAAAGAACAAAGGTACGTTTAGAAATGCTTCACTGGGTGGTTTTGTGTTTCAAGGACATATTTTAAGGGAACTTTGTGTCACCGGAAGATAGCGAGAGACGCAAGGAGAACATGCAAATCCAGGCAGAATGCTCCCGTGGCCTAAGATCCTCAGACTCCAACCTCTTCACTCCCTTGAGAGGAAAGTGTTGAACCTTGAATGATTGATCCTCCACTGCCCCGACTTTATCACTCCCACAACACATCAGGAACTCGGACTCACTTCAGAAATTTTTTTTTTATTTATTTTATATTGGGTTTATATTTGTGCTCCTTTTTAACCTGTATCTTCGTAAAGCCTCATTGAGTGTCCAAAAAGTGCTATATAATCAATATGTATTAATATTATTGTTATTGTTATTAATTCATGCACTCAGTAGAAAAAAAGCAATCAAAGCAGCAACCTATATGACTTTATGGAACACATTTATATAATCAGATTTAGTTAATTTGATGGTTGATCCTCGGGTATCATAATAATTCAATTTCAATTCAAAATATTCTTGTATAGCCCTAAACCCCAAAAGCAATCATCACAGAGACTTAACAGAACCGTTGAAATAATCAACACAGATCAGAGAATCAACAGTCAACACAGAAAATACACATGTGTATTGGTCCATAGGGAGAGACCAATGTCCATGAATGTTGATAAATGTCATACATGTATTGTTGTAGAATGTTGAAGTGTCCTGGATCATCACCATAGTCCTTCTTGTTAGACACTAACTGCCCAACAGACCCTCCTGCATCTGCAAGGAAAAACTCTAAAACCCAGTGGGAAAAAAGTGAGAAACCTTGGGGAGACCCACAGAGAGAGTGATCCGCTCCACATGGATGGACGGGCTGTAGATCCAGGACTCAAGCGACAGAACGAATAATAGTGTAGTAGTGCAGTAGTATCCAAAAATACATGAACACACACTCACACACACACGCATACGCACACACCAACAACAACAAAACAGACTCTGAGTCAGGGCTAGGCAATATCCTCCGGGGGCCACATTGGGATATCGTCACTCTGTGTAGGGTGAAACCTATTTTTACCTGGTTACTGTTTGATTCAACTTATTTTGAACTTGTTGTGAAAGCGACTTCAATTATAAAATAATTGCAGTTAAAGAAGAGAAGGAGAGAGAAACATAGAGCCATCCAAAGCATCTGTGGCTACTGTTTTGTTTGAACCTTTCTAAGTATTATAGTTACATGTGACACATTGTTCATCATTGTTAAAGAGATTAAGGGAAGTTTATTTGTAAATCAGAATTCACACAAAGGGCAACTCAAAAGTGCTTTACAAAACAACAAAGGGAACATTAAAACGTTTCAGTCGTATGCACAGCGGAAAAGAACCTGGATTTAAACATGTCAGAGTTGAAGCTTAGTGGATGAATCAAACCCTTCCCACTGTCGGAAAGTAAAAATACAATGAAGTGAATAACCCGTTGGACAGACATTGAATATTTAATGCAGGAACCATCAAGAGCAGTTTATTCTACTCAATTCATGTCCATTCATGTTTGTATTGCCCGAGATCTTTAGCACTTTGTAAATATGCAATGATCACAAACACATACAGTAGGAGGAGGACTGCGCAAAAAGTTTAGCCTTATCTCAAATATGAAACTAATGTGCATCTGTTAAGGATGGGATGGCTCCAACGAGACTGATAATATTTGATAAAATTGGACGTAAAAGTATAAGGTTCAAGGTAGAAGGGTTACATTGGACTCACTAACTCAATGATGTTTAACCAAGCTGGGACTGAAACTATCCTTACTCCTCATTGTCCAATAACTATATCCATTAAAATCATTAATAAAAGTAAATTATGCACATGGGGTGGGAGTCTGATCATGATGTTGTTTGTTGTAAATGCATTTTGGAAATATATCAACACATGGAGAATGCTGTGAATGTTTTTGCATGTATGCACAGTATCTACAGCACAGGTGTCAAAGTCAAGGCCCGAGGGCCAGATCCGGCCCGCGAGACCATTTCCAGTGGCCCTTGAGAAGATTTTAAATGATTATATTAAATAGCAGCATAAACGATACTAGGAAAACAATGTCATGTTATCCATCACTAACAACCATAAGAAATAGAGGATTTCCCAATTTTCTTAGCAAAGAACCGCCCTCTCCGCATTTTGAACAAAACTGTCTGGTCTTATTAGACGAGCACAAATCACTAGAATGATTGACAGTTGGGGGGACCAATCGTCTTGATGACACCCACTTCCGATATACCTTCAATATTTGGTCCAGTTTTGGTTCAGTCCACAGTAAGTGAACTAATTCTATCAGAAAAGAAAGTTCAATCCAACTAATTTGAAACAAGTCATGTATATAGATACCTTCATTTTCCCAAAAATGGCCCCTGACCAGCCCTTTCGATTTTTTAATCGGCCCTCAAACAAAATAAGTTTGACACCCCTGATCTACAGTATACTGTACGTGTGTAAGTAAGACCCTTGAGATGAATCCTCTCGTTTTCTAGGGGGTCCTAAATATAAATACAAACATGTAAACATACACACATGCATACATACACAATTTTTTTACCGCAAATTAAGGATAAGAAAAGACATACACAAAAACAAAAACAGACAAAAAATGAAACTTCGTACCCCACTCCCTCGTCTCTGCTAAAATTAAACATTTAGAAAGAGACATAGTAAAACTGTGAACCATGATGACACATACAGAATACAGAACATCAGTGACATAAACAAGGAGTTTTAAGGAACCTAAATCATTCAAACTAAAATAAACCAAAAGACATAATGGATTGTGTGGATGTGGGGAGTTTGTTCCAGCCTTGTGTTGCTACGATCTGCGTCCAACTTCTGTAAAAACTTGGAACAGAAAAGGTGAGACACTGTGAGCTTCTGAGTGAAAAAGACAAAAAACTGTTTTAAATAAAGTAAGTAAGTAATCATTATTTATTTAGCGCCTTTTTTTGACGTTTTTTAGGCATCGTTTGTGTCTGCTGAATGTATGAATGTAACTATGTCTGCTCAAATGAATGAATAAATAATAATGTGTATAGGTATTAACACACAAAGTTGAATTAATTTTGTAATTTTAGTCTGATTGCTATAACTGTTTCTCTCAGCAAAACAAAACAACAAATCTACTTTCTAACAATTCCAAATATGAGACCGATATCTTGTCTCAAAAACAATCCGATACCAGCTCTGTGACAAATTACTCACGGAAATAGAGCATTAACGCAGAATAACGACGGCTCAAAACCACTGCATTCTCTGTAACCGTAGAAGGAAGGTCTGGGGTATTTCTTTCTTCTTCTTTTCTTGTATCCAGTTTGTTGCAGCCATTTCCAAAAGTCCTTTTCAGTCCGTGGTGACAAACATAACCCTGCAAAAATAAATCATACTTTGGTTGAAGACAAATGCGTGATCCGCTGGGACTGGCCTGAGGCTGCAGTCATAATGGCCTCTCTCACTCTGCGGCTACGTTCACCTCTTTTACCATTCTCTCTTTCAGGCTTAAAGGGAGACTTCCAGACCGGACTATAGCTTCAAAAATATGACTGACCCAGTGCTGACAAAAAGCCAGTGTATCTGTATTTTATGTCCAATAAAGATCTGTATTTTTAGACTTAAAAGCGAAATTCCTTAATATTCCCTTTCAATGCAAGTATAAAAAAAAATGATTATGTTTTTAATATTTTGCGATCAGTAAAACGGCTGCTTGTTTTGGCGCATAGTGATTCAAAAAGTCCCAAATGTCACTTTTATGTCGCTTTTAAGAGAATGATTTTTTTTTTGTCTATTTACAGTCAAAGTTTGGGAATTTGAATGTAATATACAAATAAGATTTATTTCCAAAAGCATTTATTCAAAAGTGTTCTTTCCCTCTGACTATTCCTACAGCTGGGGTACAGACTTTTGATCCTAAATAAGACATTTTTGTTTGTCCCAACCAAAACAATATTGTAAAAGCATAATTTTGTGAATATAAGCAGACCTGCTGTTTTATTTAGTTTTTCATACTTTTAAGAAATAACCTTGTGAGTCACTACTTGACTTTTTGCTAGTTTAGGAAGATTCATTTTGTCTTCATAGGTAGACAGTCTTAGGTTCTTCTATTCCAGACAATGTCAAGATAATAACATCGCTAACCGAACATTATCTGGTATAGAAGAACCTAATACTTTTGACTATTAACTCATTGCCAGTTGAGGTTGGTCATCTCTTTAATTACTTTTCTGTCCCAACAAACCGATCTAAAGTTGTGACAGAGGCCAAAATACACGAGATGGAACCAAAATGTCTTGAGAGCAAGGAACGATTGTATCATATTTTATGTGTATCTGGGTTGAAAGTTACGTACCCCAACTTCAATTAAGAAAAACAACATACTTATTATTATTATTTTTATCAAGATTGTCCACTTTTCTCAGACTCAAGCATGATGCAATCCAAACCTCGCACTCCCGTCTCGCATGGCCGCTTCCAGTTACACCAAATTTGTCGATGGAAAAGTCCTTGAACTTCCCCTCAACTTTCTACTTAAGCAAATTTTTTTTGGAGTGCAAGTTTTACGACCATCCCCGCCCCATTTCACTTTGGTGTGTGTGTGTACAAATACAGATTGGATATATTAGTGACAAGAACATCAATCGCTGGGGGCCAAACTGCTTCCATTATGTGTAAACAAGCTCAAAGCCATTAGTCATGTTGTGCGGTTAGAAAACACATTCTGTCCCCTGCAGTGGTGTAAGGTCATCACAGCTGTCTGATGTGGTGTCAAAGCAATAAAACGCTGGATTTCCTAAAACACCATGATCCCCGTGTCCGCAGCTCCGCTCACTGTGAACGGACTCCGCCAGCTGCACGCATCTGTCACTTGTGTCTTACCATTACTACCGCAACAATAGCACGGGCGAAAATACTATCGAGGCAGACGTGGCTGGTTCTATATGCTGCAGATGGAGCCGAAAGAAGACGTGGGACTGATGCTATACTGGTAAAATACAGTATCAATAGTAATTTATCTTTTGCTGTGTGATCCTCATTCCTACTGTTCTGTAAATGGTGATGCAAGAAATGATAACCGGTAATATCAACCACCACTAAGAACAAGTTTTGTCTAATATACTGTACATACAAGTATACACACAAGTAAACATACAAGTATACATTTCTTGCTCTAGAGAATTATGTATTTTGATTCAAACTTTGCTTCTGTATTAAGCGAAATATAGAGATTTCAAAGTATAGTTAATAGTAAATTTGCTTATCTTTTACTGTGTGATCCTCATTCCTACTGTTCTGAAATTTCCCCACTGTGGGATTAATAAAGGATTTCTTAATCTTAATCTTGATCTTAATCTTAATACTCGACCAATAATCCTCATACTAGTCTCATGCTGAAAACTGTCAGAAATGTTGATTGTCCTCGTGCGGCTTCACTTCAGCTTGTCTGCTGCAGCCCTGATGACAATCTAATAGATGTTTCCAGACAAAACAGTTTCACTGAATGAAAATGAGATGCTTGTTGTTGATTTGTCTTAAAATCACGTATTGCAGCTCTTACATGTGTCGGAGTCTGTAAATATATTATGTTAAAAGTTAAAAGATTACTAAAAAGGAATATTATTGGAACAAATGTGTGGTAAATTGAGATTATTTGTGATTAAATGTAAAACAAAAGACATTTGACCACATTATAACAATCAAAATTGCTTTCCACTCAATATACATAATTGTATACCTCCACAAGGCCACTTGTGGAGGTATACACAAGTGGCCTTGTGTATACCTCAATGTAAAACTGAAGAATACACATGTATAAAATAAACACAATATATATATATATATATATATATATATATATAGTATATAGTATAGTATATACTATATATATACTGAAGAGCAAAAAAATAATTTCAGAAGCTATAAGTGTCTGGCTGTAACATCTGATTCATAATGATGTGATTGCAGATACCAGATTGCATGTATTAATTACTGTTTTCTCACTCCAAAATGCACCTCATCCGTAAAAAAATAATAATTTAATCATTTTTTTTTCTTTTTTATATATTATCAACACAAACCATATGTCGCCTGTATATTTACTCAGGCAACTTTGACTCCATACCAAACAAGAAGCTGAACTATACTGCAAAAAAACTTCTACAACACTGCAACTATACTACGCTGTTTACTCACTGCCTTACTTAACTTTTACTCCGACAGACCTTTTTAACTAGCTAAAACAACCCAACCCGGTCCCATGTTGTGGTTTGCTAACACAATTTCCTCCTCTGTATCTGATCTGGTGTCAAAGCAATAAAACGGTGCATTTCCTCAAAAACAAAAAAAACAAACACAAAACAGCCTCCCAACCACTCACCCACCGCCCCCCATACTCTACTCTGCTCTGCTCGGCTCTATCCCAGGCCTGGCTCACTCTGCCCCTGGACCAGACCAGCTGCGTGCGCCTGTCTCTGCGGATCTCAGCGCTATCGGATATCCACTCCACCGCCTCCTCCACCACCACCAGACCATTACACAGGCCTCTTTATGCTGTGCTAAAAGCTGCTCATGTTCGAAACCCTCCAGGGAAAAGCTCCTTAAAAACACGCGGCGGATGAGAGGGGCTGTCTGGTAAAATATTAATAGGAACTTAATTGGCTGTTAATGGACTGGCTGCTTTGGATGGGAGGAATCATTCTCCATTTAGATCAAGCCGAGTAGTCAAACAAGCCGTTCTTGGGGGGTGTCCTCTTACCACCTTCACCGGGGCCTAATTGTTTGCCGGTCACTCTAGCCGTGAGTTGCGGTATAACCTTACTCAAGTTTTTATGAGAGGTGGGCTTGCACATTGTAGCACTTTGGCCCCTCGCGCTGGCAAAGTGAGTGTCGTCTTACATTAACAACTAATGTCTTTTTAATTTTGTGTTATCGGCTTGAGTCGGAGGTCGGCGAAAGTTCAATTTGCGTTTATTTCGTCAAAACAAAGACAGTGAAAGTGAGGCTTCCTACGCTGCTGTAGGTCACGGCTCTCGGTGAGCGAAGAAAAAAGTGATGGATGCTCTTGTGTTAGGACCAGCGCCGATTACGGCTACTTGAATAATTTTCATATCATGCAAGTTCTTGTTCTGAGCTTTTTGCGGTTGTGTGAAAATAATGAATGAATTGTGTTTTAGTTGTTTTACTTCCACCATTAAATCTGCATCATGTGAAATTTTAACCGCGTACAACACTGTTTCTCACTGAAAAACAAACGTGTAACCCCGCCCCTTCTGTCTAAACTGTAATAGTATGACGTAATCGTACTGCTACACACTTAGAGCACTTTTCCGTCTTTTAAAACAAAATTAGTTCCGATTAGTTCAGGCAATGTCAAAAGTGAAATAATGCCCTTAACAATTGTATGGTTGTGTTTACAGAATTTGGAAAAAATAAAAGAATTTCAACACCTCCCTCTGGTGGTTGCCTAGGGAGTTACGGGCTGAAAGCATGTTTTACCCTTCATACTTTTTTCATCGTATGTTCTATAAAGGATATAATTTCAGAGCCTAAAACATGAAATGACAAAGTAAATCAAGCCATTATAATTATTAATGTTAATTAATTGCATAATATTTCTTCTTTATTTCTGAGATTTCTCCAGGTGTCTATAGCGGAAGCAACAGCACCTACGACGTTGCCCAATGCTGTGAAGTATTCAGTGAGATTTGTATTCAATTTGCAAAAGTTATAGTTAAGACACACTGTATTTCATTGTTTTGTTCCTTCAATGCCACGAGGGTAACCTGTAAGAAGCAGTGGTCAGTTCTGTGCAGCACCCGGAGAACCACCTTCATCTTGGTCGTCAGGACTATCAAAGCTAGTGTTTGTTGCATGTTTGGGCGGTGGGGAGGAACAGGAACGCCTGGAGGACACCCACTCCATTTGCACCAACAGCCTTCTCTCTGTGCAGTATGAGCTCTACCCACTCAGCCACCGTGCCGCCCTCGCAGACATCTGTGATAAAAATTGATGTATGAATAAAAACTTCTAAGCTTGCCGGTGTGGCATTGTGCAAATTCCCAATACTGGATATATATACGAAGCATGCATATCTTTTTTTTTTGCGTAAACAGTGTGTGGCCCTTGCAGATGGTAATTTGGAAATAGTATGTGCATTCAATGGATCTTCTCACTGCATGCTTGTATGTAATTTTAAATGTGCACTAAACGTTATAATAGTGTATATAAGTCGACTAGACAATCTTGTGTTTGATGTTACCTTTATAACATGGTCAGTCAAGAGAGATATTCACACCTTGGCATTTGTAAGTTCAATAGTTTGATGCCTGTCCACACCGCTGTACATTTTTTTGAATGTGTCTAAATAAGCAGCAACATCCCATTCAGAGCACATTCTTGGATTAGAAATGGTCCGTCCTAATGGAAAAAGGAAACTGCTTTGGCGGAGGACATGTTTTGTAGTCTAAAAATGAATTACTTTCATTGACTGTGATACTGAGAGACTGTGGGATGCTTCAGGTTCACTTGTTGGGCGCCACCTGTACGTGAAAGCCAGATCTTGTCCAAATTCTGAAGCTAAGCAGGACATGGACTGGTTAGTACTGTGATGGGAGACCTCTGGGAACATCTGGTGCCACAGCGGGGCGGGGGCTATGGCTGTAAAGTGCCAAACTGTAGATGTGTCCTTAGGCAAGACACTTCACCCACATTGCCTTGAATGAGTCTGGTGTGTGTGTATGGTTGGTGGGGGCTGATGACACATACTGAGTGCCACGCTTCTGTTAGTCTGCCCCAGAGCAGGTGTGGCTATAGTAGTAGTTAATCACCACCGTGTATGAAGTGTCCTGCTCCACCCAGCGGCTACACCACCTCTGCTGTTAAGACTTAAAGTGCTTTTGAACTTTATTACTATTGTAGGTCAGGTCATATCGTTTTCATCCCCTTTATTATTCAATATCTGGGTTGGGGGGTGGCAATCAGAGCGAACACCAAATCTACGCGAAGATGGCCACTGCTTCGACGAAGATATGCCCTTTGCAATGTGGGGTGTCATGCCCAGGGACGCATGACAGTAGACATCAGTGGGAGCAGATGACATGGGTCGTAGGGTGATTGAACCCACGATCATTAGGTTCAGAGACCAATGCTTTACCAACTGAGCCACTGTCGCCTACACACTATTTTCAGTAACTTTTAGAATGATGTATTTGTTTATATGGATGTGTTTCTGCTGCTGTACACCAACATTTCTCCAAAGAGGGATCGATAAAGTATCTATCTATTTCTATTTTGATCTATCTATTAAATATTAGGTAACGTGTAGCAGTTTCATGCCCAAGGATACAACCACCATGCATGTTGGGACTTTTATACTCCTCGTTTCTCTTAAGTTTCAAGTTGTCCTTGCCCCACATGCACAAACAAAAATAGCCCAAGTTGATGAATACGGGCGAGTCAAAGTGTTATACTTGCGATGCCTTCACAGTACCAACCACAGAAGGATAAAAGGGATGTTTTCTGATTTCATGATGGCCTGTTTAATATTTCATGACAAACCTGCACATTATCCCATTTAAACTTTGGATGTTTGTGTTTTTGCTCTCCGTGGTTGTTGCCAACAAGACAAGTCCACTTCCTTTTAGAGCATGCATGCAATATTCATACACGTGAGAGTCACAAACAGAAAAATCAAATGGAAAAACGACTCGAGTTCAAATGTCTACATCAGCACATGCATTTTTGATTGCGGCAAAACCTCCTAGACGCCATCCCCTTTAAGTCGAGTGGCGGGAGGATGTCGAGCGGGGCGTATATTTAGAATTAAGTGATATTTCAGCATGTCTTTCAGGGCCCGTTCAGCATCGATTCATTTATGAGAGGGACAAATAGTTGTTGAAAGACTCAGTCCAGGAAATGGCGCTGGGAGTATATAGCGGCGGGGGTCACGGAGACTGCTTTTTACAATTTGGGCTTTTAAAACGGACTGTATGACAAGGAAAACACCCTACTGTTAAAAATATACCTCTGAGACTATTGTAAATGTGGGGTGAGTACAGACACGCAAGAAGCATAAATCATGAACTATTATAGTGCAATAGCCTGCTTTAAATGATCCAATAGTCTATAACAGATGTACAACATGATTTTTATGCTTTAATATCTGTTTGTTTAAATGTCTGGGTTCTCGCCTGAATAGTTTTGGTATTTATTGGCCTAGTTGGCTCATACTGCAATATTTATAATGAGTTATACTTGTATTAAAGTATGACAATATTCATTCACTCCATTCACAGTGGTAGTAAACTACTGCAGAAGCCACATCTGCACTGGGCAGAGAAAATCTGAACCAGCTTTGACTACCACCAATTTACGCACGCACAGCAGACTTATATTGGTGATATTATGTAGGCTTGTCCAATGACAACAACAGTTTGGCACAATACAGCCTCAGATGCAGCACTATGGCCCCTTGTGTGGATCACTCTCAGCAAAGCAGTGGTATGTCCACACGGGACGGAGAAAAAATAAAAAGAAAACATAGGCCTCTATGGAGGGTTTGGGTTTTATTTTTATTATTTATTTGTTTTCCTAATATTTACATTTGCACTCATCTGTTACAGTTTATTACATCGAATGATTGGAACAAAATGATAAATACCCATATTCAGTGATCTTGATTGCATTGATAATTGCTTGATGGGCAGTGATTGCAAACACTGACCTGAAAACTTTCTGATGACGTAAATGATTCAATTCGTAAATGATAAATGATTCAATTCTCATCCAACTAATATAACTGGTGGTGGTTTTTCCAAAGGGAGGGACTATATAAAGTACATTACACAAATCAAAACACACAATTGATATGCAGGTGGTCAATGAAAGATCCAGAATCCTTAAGACACACACCACCAGCAAGGTTTAGAGACGGTTTATTTGAGAAATTCTATATCATTAAACAGAACAACAAGCTGCCATGTTGTGCTCTGTTTCTTTGCGGTAACAACGTTGTATTCCTTTGACGGACCAACCCAGAGTACTTCCTCTCCCTCTGAGTGTCCACTTCATGTTCCCGTGTCCAATTACATAAAAATGAATCCTCCAGATGTCCTCCTTGTACAGCAGAGATCTATTTGCATTTTGTCTTCTCCCAGTCACCACCAGAGGGCGCCCAAAGCCAAGGCAAGCCCTGTGGTGTGCAGAGCCAGATCTGAGATAAGCAGACACAGATGTTTCTTATGGGCCACATGGACAGGCCTGCTTCCTCTGTGTCCCGTGGTGAAATATTGGCTCTAATGTGACGGGGTGAAGGCCGGGATAAGCTTAAGAGCTTCATAACATCGCAGAGATAGGAGTTGTCTGCTCGCACGTTTCTCATGGCTCTGTCCACTGTTCCATTGATTTTAATATATCTATCAGAGCAAAGTGAAAGGGAAATGAGTGACTTAGTATTACAAGTACAAGGTTGAACTAACACTGGTAATAAAATAACAGTATTTTTCCAGTTTTGCAAGTTTCCAGGTTAGTTATTCTTATTGTGAATAGAATGGAAACTACAGGGAATCTCTTTTATTTTGATATTAGTACATTTTGTTAGTCCTAAAACATCATTTGTGAATAGGACAGAGATTTAAAAAAAAAAAAGGCACATTCTCTATTAGAATCAGAAACAAATGCTGCTGCCCTTGGATTAAGAAAATTCCTATCCGGTTCCATTCTTTTGGGGGAAACAGCCACGCACTATACTAACTGTTCACTGTCTTATTTTGGTTCAGTTTTGGCACTGACTTTTCATCTGCAAGACAAGACATTATTAATTTACTGTATTTAAATTAACAGAACATATTCGCCTGTTTTCTAAATTAACATCTTGTGCTCATTCTCTTTCTCCCTTTTGTGATCTCATCATAGAACTTTCTTCTTTTTAGGTCCAGTGTACCACATGTTTAGACTTTCCTCACAAACTGGATTCTGGATCGATCCAAAACTGCAGAGCTACACACATTTGCCAAAAAAAGAAAAAAACCTTGTGATTACAGTTACATTTGTGATTTATCATTCAAAATGTTGAACAAATGAAGACTACCTTAAACAAAATCCCATTACTTTCAGAACATGCCAGAAATAATTGACCTATTTTCTGTTGAGTAACTTTTAAAATCCAAGTTACATAGGTCTAAGAGGCATTATCTATACATGTGATAGAATGTGTGTACAGATAAAGGTGCATGTTTTGGCATCGCAGCCCTGAAACCTCTCTTAAGATTATAAAGAATTATCTATTTACTATTTTTTCTCTAATGTTTTCATTTTTTAAGATAACTATTGTGATTTGTGAATTCTGTTACGCAGTTAAAGAATAATTATACAACTAAGACTTCAAATTTAAGAGAAAACTGAACCCTGAAATAAAAAAGTTGTAATTTCTTATTTTTCACTCTTGGAATTATATGAAAAGCAAATTCTTGTTTAAAATCCCACTGTGCAGATAAATACATAAATTAGGAAAAATCTACTTTTGCATTTACTTGAGGGCTCTGAACGCAGGGGTCGCCAGATTGTTGTAATTCTGTATGCAACAAGAGGTTAGTTGGGTTTTTAAATGAAATAATAATCATAATAATTGCAGTAGTTGTGATTTTCAGCCGCAACATTTTAATTGGAATCAATTTATGGGCGACAGTAGCCCAGAAGGTCATGGGTTCGAGCCCACCATAAGATTTTCTCCACCGACTCCCTCTGTCTGTTGTGTCCTTAGACAAGACACTTCACCCCCATTGCCTAGAATGAGTCTGGTGTGTGTGTGAATGGTTGGTGGTGGTCGGAGGGGCCGATGGCACATACTGGTTGCCTCGCTTCTGTCAGTGTGCCCCAGGGCAGCTGTGGCTACAGTAGTAGTTTATTACCTCTGTGTATGGAGTGAAAGAATAATGACATGTGAAGCATCTTTGAGTGTCCAAAGAAGCGCTATATAAAACTGATGCATTATTATTATTATTATTAAGTCTTGCAGCCCTCATTAGCAAACAACCTGAATTATCTGACCTAATCCAGTCAAAATAAGAAAATAGTAACACATACCAGTCAATATAACATATAAATAATACATACATGTGTCATAGGTAGTTGAAACACAGAGAGGCACTTGGTCAGAGTCATGCTTATGTTTTATTAACGCAGTAAATTGAAGATACAGTTAGCAAAATGTTTCTTTTTTTCCGGCAGCAGTGAATAGTACATGGGGACAAACACACACAGCAAGGTGCTTACAAAGTTCACTTTAAGAAAAGGGTAGAAAAGTCGTATTATGATATGTTCAAAAATGATTTAAGACACAACAGCAAAGCCTAAAAAAGTTGACAAAACAACCCAATTATCATTTGTTAAATTTGAAAATGTATAAATATTCATCAATACGTGGAGCTGAGAAAAAATGTAAGTCTGTACATTCAAAGTTTGGCACTATATAAACATTTTGGCTTCAACTTTTTGTCATGGATAAAAAAAGACGACAACGTTTTTAGGGCATGCACACAACAACGCACTTTTTTTTTCTCTTTTTCTTTTAAATAAGCAACTTTGTTCACGTCGTATGTACACGCAGCAAGACTTAACAGGGAGAATGTTAAGCAGAGGAGGCACAGGAAAGCTACAATCACAGATGTCCTGTTTGCGTCTATTATAAAGGATTTTCATGCTAGCTGCAGCCCAAGTCGAGGAATGCATGCAAAAAACAAAAAACCAAGACAGTTACAAAAGCATAACCAGGGTCGCTGTAAACAAAAGAGTAGTTTAAAAGTTTGAATGCAAAATTTCTGTCAAAAAACGAATATATAAAAACAAAATTTGGTCTGTGGGACGAGACAACGAAAGTGTGCACATAGACTGTCAGCCCTTTTTTTTAGTTTTGAATTCTTGAAAATTTTGGTTAAACCTTCCTGAGTTCAATCTTCCATCGTGCCTTCGTGCAAGACATTTCATCGACGTTGCGTTAAAAATGGTTTGCTCACTTTTTGTCGTGTATGTTGGCAGTGTTGGGGAGAAAACTTCAAAAAAATATATCAAATCTATTTAGTTACAGAATACTATCCCTGCACTAAAAAGTATTTTGTGAGGTATTCTGCAACATTGGCCAATCAGAGTACTGCATTCCGAATACTTGGAGTACTTGTCCCACTGAGATTTCAGAATCTCTTTTTCAGGGGAGTCCTGGCCCACACATTTGCATAATTGAATAGTGTAAACGTTTTGGGACAGATATACATAAATAAAAGTGATGTTTTGAATATTTTTTCATGAAATATCTATTGACAAACTGTTGAAAATGCATGATCAAAAACCAAAATGCATTCCTTCAGTTTTTTTTTTAAGTAATATCTTCCAAAAAGCTGAAAAATCTGAATTTCAGTGTTCCTGGTACAGCCACAGAGGACTACTGCCCTCTAGTGGTGCTTACCGGCTCTGACGGTGTTACAGCGCTGTCTGGATTTAAAGAGAGACGTTTCACTTTTCCAAATTATTACAATCTACATAATAAAAAAGGATAAAAAAAAGATTTATGCTCTAATAATTGCACTAAGTTTCCCTAATAATCTAACAGTACAAAGAGAGGAAGCGGGTTTGTAAATCTATCAAGCAAGCTCCCATCTATCTCCCATCTCACACACCCTTTGGCGCACGGTTCAAATGCATGCGTTTTTTGGGCACAACTCTAGAAAGAGCTTTTTTTTTATTCTGACAGAGATGTGAAGCAGGGGCGGAACCTCGTGTTCAGCCAATGAGCTCTCATCCCCGAGCGCACAGCATCACACCAGCGCTTCCCTCGCAAGTTCCATCCATCAAAAAAATAGTTTCTCAATAGACTCGGACAAAGCTATCTGATGTAGTGACTTGCTTTTACAGAACATTTTTAATCATTTGCCAGAGAAAAAGTTGGGTATTTCAGCCTGGATTTGAAGAATTATCCTAAACTCTTTTTTCCCAACAAACGATGATGGTAATTGAATTTCAGAAATAGTGCATGGTACAGTAAACAGGTAACGATAATAAGAGCAGCATATCTTAACATTACAATGAACTGGAAGAATGTGCTTGATGGCCTTCAGATAATGTACAACCATATCTTACCGTACCCTCTATCCACATTTTAGGTAAAAAAAAAAGCTTATTTGTTTCACTTCATGATAACCTGTAGTGACTCAGGTTGACCATAGTCAGTAGTGGCCCAGGATAGCAGTACTTTCGGGATGGGTGAAATTAAGTTAAAGCACAATATGATTTATCCATTAGGCCGCGTTGTGGAACAGGATCGGTTTGACCATCCCGGAGAGGATTTTGGGAACGTGGACGCTCACGATCTCGGATATCATCTCCGGGAAATTCACACGGGTCTGCAGCGACTGGGCCTCGATGAACAGGTCGTAGGTGAACTGGTGCAGTTTCTTCACGATCTGGAATGAAAAAAAACAAAACAAAAATCAATCTACTTTGTTATTATGGTATTGCATTAGATCTGCGGTATCGGCCCACACACTACAAGAACTCACTAATTATAACAAGTTTTTTTTTAACAACTGAAAATTTGGCTTAAATCACACCAACATGGCGCTAGAACGTGGAAAACATGAATCCATCTTTTTTCTTAAATCCTACAGTTCTCATGAGCATGGCCAGGCTTATGTGTCTGTATATGTCACTTGTTGGATGCACTGTATGTTCTCACTTTGTCTTATATGATTACTTGATTTTGAATGTGCTGGAAACTGCAGTTGCTCTGAAACAGCTGTTGTTTTGTGTATTTTTTTTTTTCTTTCCTTGTTCCCATCGGTACATTTTACTCCAGTCCAGTGTTCGAGGTTTTTACACTGAGCTGCGGAAGAGAAGCAGACTGGTAGAGACAGCGTACATTTCTCATTGTGGGTGTACATTAGGGGTGTGAAGATATATCGCAATATCGATATATCGCAATACTTTCTCCCGCGATTCAATTATCGATATGCATTTGCCAAGTATCGATATCGATTTATTTTTGTTCCATTTTTTTTTTTCATTTAGTATTAACACTTAAAATATGGCTACATTACGCATCTCCATTCCATTTATCATGAAATAAAGTGTATTTTTTCACTTAACATTTTTCTTTTATTTATGCCATAAATTGGCATATGGTCTAATTTTGACCAATATATTGATAATCGTTGTATCGTGATAAAATTGTTATCGTGATATTATCGTTATCGTGAGCTTTGTAACGTGTATCGTATCGTATCGTGAGGTACTATTAGGTTCCCACCCCTAGTGTACATACAGTATCTATGTGTTGTAGATATTTATTAATGTACTTTTCCTTCTTTTTTTATTATTTACTATTGTACATATCTGGCCACGCCTCACCTTGCCCAGGGACTACAGTTGAAAACTAGCTTTGTGGCTAAAGCTGGCACTTTTACATAACTTTTGAAATACATAATTAAACAGTATAATTGAAATGACAATTATTTAAAGTGTATTCAAAATAAAAAGTATTACAGCGAGATACTGAAAAAGGAAATAGCATGGATTAGTGTATCGTCAACACTCGTAGAGCACAGACCACCACCAAAAAATGCTGATCCGTAAAAAAAATAAAAAACCGGAATCTAGACGGTGATCCGGATCACATCCAAAATCGAATAGTTTGTTCCCGGTTCCATTTCAAAGATTTATTGAACATGTGGACGAAATCCGCCAGTTATGTTGCTAAAGTACATAAAACAAACACGTCATGATGAGGTAAAGATTGTGTTCTGTCGCAATCCTTAAGATACAATATGATTATCAATATCTCTCTGTTTTCTACACATTTAAATATAGTATGAAGTCGTTTTCAAGCAACACGTTGAAAAGTTGGACAAGCCTTTTCTCAGATAATGAAGAAAACATTTGAATGGAATAAGGTCAGAATTAAAAAAATTTCCTGTAGAGAAATACCAACTGCTGTACAAAACAACAGAGACTTCCCTGTGGGCACTCTATAAATCTTGAGTTTGCATATCTCCAAACCAAAATGCCAGCACTGAGTAACATCTGCTAATGTGACTGAGGCTCCACGACTTCTTTAGGAGGTGATAGTGGCGTTGACACAGCCCTAAGCCTCGGTGAAGGGACTAAAACCTTCAGGGTTGAACACTGATCCCTGACCGCTGCTTTGAGGCTGAGAACTGCCCCCGGAGCCGTCCAAAGAAGATGATCCGACACCAGAGCCCCGCCTGGAATCTACTCTGAAAGACAGACTGCCTTAATGCCTCTCATGGGCCCTGCAGGCGGCTATGAAGCCCAGCTCAGGGAGAAGCGGTTTTCAATGTGTGGTACGCGGCCCTGCGGTGCTGCGTTCATGTATTTGAAAACATGATTAGAGACCATTTTTATGTCTTGTTTATGGTTTCTAATAGTTTAATACTCAATATGAACCAATACCAAAATGCCTGAAAATAAAAAATGTGTCTTGACTGTTAATAATTACTAAATTACAAAAAAAAAAGTAATTACCAAAAGACTTTGTTTGAAAAAAATAAAAAAATTTAAACTTTTATTTACATAAGCTGAAAGCCTAATCATTAAACCAATACCAGATTGTACCAGTTGTATCAGTGCATCCATAATCACAATACTAAAAATCAAATTGGATTTTGACTCTACAAAAAGTACTCTATACCAACCAAAAGCAATGAAATGTACAACTTATTCTAAAACATTAACAAAAGTGAAATGATCTTTCTACAATATCTTCATGAAGACTTTCACATTTTTAGGTCAGTTGACTAGAAATAGGCAAAGGTTTTTTGATTGTTTCTCGGTTCAGGCTCCTGCGCTCCATCTTAAATTATGGCACCATTCTAACCTAAAATTTGAACGCAAATTATTTACACCTTAAAATGGAGAGTTCCTAAATAAATATGACCGATGAGGCTTTTCTGGTGTTCCAGAATGTCGTCTTCAAATCACTGGAGACGAGTTTTTCAATAAATTTTTTGAGCAAGAAAAAAAAAGTATGTTTATTCCAAAAGTTCCTCCTATTCCTGTGCTATATGTTGTATGTCAGAATCAGAATCCTTGTATTGCCATGTGAGTAACAAGAAGTCACAAACTAGGAATTTGCTTTGGCTCTCGGTGCAAAAAAATTCAAAAAGTAGAGAATAGAATAAGGCATGCATGTGTACAAATCTACATTAAAAACCATACACGCCGCCATTTTGTTCCAGTACATTACCTACGACTGCTGATTAGGCCATTGCTCAAATTGCAGAGATATTTGTAATGACGTTTTAAAAAAAATCTTCCCGAAATTTCTGTTTTGTATTAGAATTAGTTTGGATTAGCTAAATTAGATTCATTCAGATTAGTTTCTACCTCTGATCTGAAGCCGCTAGATACGCTTGGGCTTTGTTTTTATCACAGTGCAAAACTCATCACTGTCCATAGGAAGCTCTCTTACTTCTTAATACTAAAAAATATGCAATGATTTCACATTCAAATACTTCAAAATCGTAATTTTGGTATAAGTGAATTTCAAGACACTCCACGACGCCCTTAAATTCCAGATACAATATTTTCTTTTTTTGTCTGGGCTCTCCAGAGTGCCGGGTGTAAAGTGACATTCTTGAACACACATCTATAGACTGTCTCTGCACATTTGTAGCGGTTTTCAATTACCCACATGAAAAAGGAAGTCTGTCAGTGCACACTCCCCCTAGTGGCTGTAACCCATACATAATCAATATCAGATGGAGCTGTGTGAAGACCGGAGTGTGTGGCTCAAATCAATCCTTAAGGGGGTATTTTTAGTGTCTCTCGAATGCTGTAATGTATATTTTTTTTGTCTGCTTTTCTCTTCAGTGGTTGGAAAAAAAATCTTGCTGGAATATGTTGGTTATTGATTCAACGAGTCCGCTCTCAAGTTTCAGTTCTATTCTAAATAATAGATTAGAAGTGATTTTCAGTGCGTATGGCGTTGTCCAATTTGCATAATTCATAAAAAATTCTTGATACATAGCAAAATCTAGGAATTTAAATTAGCAATATGTAAGATTTTCATTTCAAGACATCATTAACTGGCCCTAATATGTCAAAAGGCATGAATAAACAATGATCTTTGCGAACACTTCTTTAACTGAAAACAGTAGCCAGATTCGTCTGCATATCTGGCAACCTGAGTCAGGGAGAGTGGGAGAGGTTGCAGTACCACTCTTGGCCAGATTTTTACATATTCTTGGCTTGCAATTACGTGACGCATCAACTTCTGATAATGAAGTGGTGGTCAAGCCAACAAAAATTGCAGCTGATATGCAAAGAAAATTGTCTCTTCTTCCGAGTATTTTTGTGCTTTTTTGTATATTTCAAGTCAAAAAAAGTCAAATTGTGTAACAGTATAGATCCTAATGCGTTATCCAACAATAATTTGAGTTGTGAGTTAGAAAAAAACCTGCCAGTCCAGTTACCGGAAATCTTAAACTATCTAGTGTTACAATCAAGCTTTTGCACTGCTAAACAAAAGCTTGGATGCCTAAACTTTTTTGTCTGTGGGTGGATTAAGGAACTCGGAGTTAAGGTCCCAAAGGACAAATCCTGCATCATAAAGAGCCGTGTAAGTAACGAGTGCTGTATGAACTTGTCATGTTCAACAAAACGATGTAACAACATACTGTGTTCTTTTCAGGTCAAACATTCAGAGTTTTGAAAGTTAATTCAAAAAAAGATGGGGATGTGGCTAGGTAAATAAATAATCCTTCGATGTAAAAGTGTTTGCTAGTCACATGTTAGCCAGCCACTTTTCTCTGCGTCTTTTTGTGAAGTCCTTTGTGCGATTCCCTTTTTTAATCTCTTCACAAGGAACCCTAAAGTATCTTTTATAAGTTTCACGATTCGATCGCTTAGAACAACCTAAAACAACACACGCAAAAGGATCAAACACGCTGCTCTAGTGAACAACTCGCTCGGCTGACCACCACTTTGTGAAACGCACAGTGATGGGAATAACGGCGTTACTAACGCCGTTACTTTTTTCAGTAACGAGTAATCTAACTAATTACCTTGACTGTAACTATAATGCCGTTATCATTGCCGACACCCCGTTACTGTGCGTTACTCAAGTCGCAAAATTAAATTCTTTTTTTACTTCGTGATAGGACTTGTGCGCGTGTTGTCATGAGAGAAGGGAGGATGAGAAAACCTCTCAGCAATTATTGGCTGATGTAAAACATATTTCCTTTACAATCCACATGTCTACAGTTGAGAGGATGGCTCATAAATTGTGTTTTTGAAACAAATATGGGTCTTAATCGCGCTCAACCACGGCTTGTATCACCGTGAGGCCAGCCTCAGAGGAGCGCATGTGAGCGCAGAAGTCGGCTGCATACAATTCCATCCAAAAGCTCCTTTCTCTTCCTGTTTTATCTGCTAAGGACAGCAACAGGTTTGGCTAACATACATATAACACATTTTATATAATAGATAGATAATTTAAAATGCACTTAGGGTAATTTTTCAATGACTATAGGAGTGATAAGAAAGAAAGGTGAAATGTAAGACGGTTGATTTTAGAAATTGGATGCAGCCGGCTGCAGCTAGCAAAACAGAGGAGTTTATGGAGGACACACGTGTTTTGTTTTACTTTTTAAAACTCATTGGACTTATTTCCAAATGGAGGATTACATATCTACGCTCAAACTATTATCTGGACTTAAACACGGAACTGGTCTGAACCGAAGTGGTCTGTGCAGGTCATTTATAAGGTAAGACCCATAACTCATAGTTTTGCGTTTTGTATGAACAAACAATGCGGGCATGAAACATATTCTGCTGTAGCCAAACAAACTGTCCAGTTGATTTATATGATATATATATATGTTCATCTGATTGGTCTGAAGTCAGTGCTTCACCGGTGTTTCCACATTCACAGTGGCGGGTGTTTGTGTTTAGTGCTTACAGCACAGAGAGAGATGAAGAGTGAACAGGACTTCAGCCGCAAAACAGCCTTTTCTAGATGGAAATATTGGCAATATTTCAAACTCACTGAGGTTAAAGGTAAAAATGTGCACGTCGAGTGCACATTATGTTCCAGAACAAAACAAAAAAGTAACGCAATAGTTACTTTTACTGGTAACTAGTTAATTTTATAGTGGAGTAACTCCGTTAGTAACTAGTAACTATAACTAATTACTTTTTCAAAGTAACGTGCCCAACACTGGAAACGCATAAGTAATGAGGCGGACGTGACATCAATTGCAAGCAAGCAATTGCTCCTTTAAAACAAATACATTGAAATGAAGCCCAATGCTTTTCTTTGTCATTTCTAAACTACATGAAGTGAAGAAATTAATGCATTATTATATTCCATCTTCTAAAGCAGGGATGTCAAACCGGTTCCAGAAAAGGCCGGTGTGCTGCAGGTTTTAGTTCAAATTGGAGCAGGAGCACACCAGACTCCACCCATTTCCTCAAATCTTAAGATGAAAACTCGTCACACCTGAGGAAATGGTTGGAGTCTGGTGTTCTCCTGGTCAGGTTGGAACTAAAACCTGCAGTGTATGTTGTGAATATAATATTGTTTCACAATAGTCACCAGCGTAGTTTAAGTATTGTGCCTGTGGTCTGACGCACTGTTGCTATAAAGTTAATAATACCACAGGTGTCTGCACCCGTAACTCTCATTTCCTGGTGCTATTTTTGTATCCTATAAATAACATTTATAATTCATAGTTGTCAGAAGGCCTTTAGTGGTAGTAGGATTAGAAGCAGTTTAGTTAGAAGTAGTATCAGTTGTCTTAAAAGTAATAGTAGTAGAATTAGTAGTAGTAGTTGTGGTAATAGTAACTTAGAAGTAATAGTAGTAATAGTAGTATGTCCTCACCGCCTGCAGGTAGTCCAGCAGTTGTGTGAGCTGGAACAGCCTCTGTGTGCGGGTGGTCTCTCCGTGGTGACTGGCCAGTCGGTCCAGCTCTTTAATGTAGGAGGTCCTCAGCTCGTCAAAACACCGCTGACTCCTGAGGCCCTCCACCGGCACTGCACACACACACACACACACACACACACACACACACACACTCACATCACATACTGACAGGGAACAGGGCTATGTCATGTATTTCACATTTATTTAACCACGAAACATGAACAATGAACCAACTGTCATTCTCAAGACACGTTAAACTCAAAGACAAATTCCTAATCCATGAAGCAAAATGTTTAGAACTGATTGTGTCCTGATACTTATAATTGTTCCAACATTTAAATGTGAGCAAGAATGGAAACTTGATCAAAAACCAGTGTGAATACAGTAATGTCTATACTATAAGCCGCTACTTTTTTCTACTTCTTCTATATAACCCTGCGGCTTATATACAGTAGCGACGTGACTACCCAGTTGACTCCATAGAGTTGTATTAGCTATAGGCTACTAGTGTGTATGTATGTGAACACAATTGATTTTCTTTTCAAATGTAGGTAATGTGGCTTATATACTGGTGCAGAAGGTATGGTATATATACGTAGGTAATTGATACATCTGAAAAAATAAGAAAATGACGTTTTGTATCTAGTTGTCAGTGAGTGTTTGTGCATTTCTCCATTGTGAGATGAATCAAGTTTTATCTTATCTTAATGTAAATGTTCTGTTTTTCTTATTGTAGGTACAAAAATGAAAAATGATGCAGAGAACAGGCGTGTGACCCCTCGACCCACCAGTTGAGAACCACTGCAGTACAGAGTGGGCAATCCTCTTCCTCGTGCAAATGTTGGCTGTTACATTTATGATAGTGTGTTTCAGTGCTTTCAACAGGATGATGAGTGAGCTGCGAGTGTGTGGGCCTCACTGATGCTGAAGAGGACCAGGGCCTTCATGCAGAGGAACTCCTCCTGTGTGACCTTGAGCATACACAGCTGTTGAGAGAGCACTTTCATCCGGACACAGTGCTCGTACATGCTGGAAACCTGCATCCGCTTGCTGACACAACACAAAAAAAACACACACTTTTAGTCATTTCATTTGAATCGTATTTTTACAATGGACTTTTTTTCATAATGCGATATCTTATAACTGTTTAATCAAAGGAGAGATATTACACAAAATCAACTTTTTGAGCTTAAAACCATGTTACAACATTGTTCCTCCTAAAAATCAGACCTGAAGTTGTTTTTAAATGAATCCACACTACTATTAGGAACTATTTGCACAGACATGCCGTTTGTCTGTGCGGCATGTCTCAAAGCCGTTTTCTGCCTTATAAACAAAAAGATTTCTCCATTAATAGCCCAGGAGTCCAAGTCAAGTCCCAGTCCAGTGAAATGACGTTCTTTACAATTACATGGCTGCTTGCATCTGCTCAATATTGAATTAAAAAAACTAAAAATGTGAACTTCTCCATCTGGTGGTGGCAAAGTGAACTACAGGCAGAAAGCTATTTTTACCCTGCATACTTGATTCAGCAGGCATTTTCTACTTGTGATATTATTTCACATTCTAAAACATTAAATGACAAAGTAAATAGTCTCATTAGCATTTGTAATGGCCAAAATGAATGCATAGTCTTTATTCTTTGAAATAACTATTGATTATTTGTGTTGTATGTGTTTGTGTGTGTTATTTGTTTGTTATCAAAAGTAGAACATTGTGAAAAAAAAAATCAAATTTAGGTCCTCATTTCTTGAACTGGTCTAGATTTACAGATAGAAAAAATCACCCCCCCCCCGGTATAAGTATTTTGCCATGAGAGTATTCTGAAGTAACTGTATTTTTCACTTTGGAGGGAAAGCCATGGGGACAAACAGGGGGCAATACAGGGTCAGGCAGGAGGAGCAGAGGACAATTATGGAGAGAATGGGAGGAGAGAGAAATGAGTGAGATGGAAATGGAAGCACAGAATGACAGCATAGTGGAGAAATGAGGGTCAGAGTGAAGGGCAGCAGCTTCTATTACTCTGGAGGAGAAGATCCATAGACACAGCCATAGACACCCACAGAGCATGACAACAGAGCGTTCCATCCACAAAAGGCCTTCTGCGTAACTTCCATTGGAATATTTTTGTAGATTAAAAGCCCAAAAGTTTGCTCGGAGAATCTGAAAGTTGTCTGGAATCTGAATTTGTCTCAGCGGTTGTCTCTTGGTCTATTTAAATCAACTCTCTTATTAAAACTGAAGTGACCACACACATGCAATAATAACATCTGCTATAGTTCATAACTTTCAAAACTGTATGGTTATTTTTCTTGGTCCAATAGTCCCTCATTATAACGTGGTTCGACTTTTGCAGCCTCGCATATTTCTTTGCGTGCTATATTGCGTGCTTTTTTGTGACCAATTTTGCATTCATATACTGTACAACATATTTCAATCTGGAGAGACAGAAAAATGCATTAAATGATAGGGCCATGGTACTGGTGATGGCGAAGGGCGGAGTTGGGATGAGAGCGTTAGTTCGAAGGTTGAGGAGGAGGCGGGGAAGAGGCGGTTGCGAGCTGTGAGTAGAGGAAAGTGAGGCCAGGACAAACTCACTTTGCAAGGCTTGGATAAGGGTTAGTTGTTGGGAAATTTTCGCTTTTAAACTGCTGGCTTAATTAGCGTAGGTTGGCAGTGCTGTGTGATTGGCTGAGGGAGAAAGGGACGTGGCTTGGATGGGATAGACTGCAGCAGCGAGTTGGGAGGCGGTGCTAAACATTCAAACCTTGCAAAACGGGTAAAGGAATAATGTGGCTTGTTGTCACCATGGTGATTCGACCCCGCCCCCCAGCCCTAAGTCCTGCTTCTTGCCCCTGGGCATGGCGTCCTCTGCAACAGGATTTAACCATGTACAGTATATAGGACATCACTCAGATTTCCAATGACCAGGTTTGCTAACTCCACGATCGCACTTCTGCAGTCATGAGTTCAGCTGGTTAGAAAAGTGTATAACGTCTGTGATGAGGGGTTTTACAGCCTGAGAATATGTAGCTGCTACTTTGTATTTCGCTTATTGCAGGTTAATTTTAGAATGTTACCCCCAAGATAAACGAGGGACCACTGTATGTAAAATGTTTTATGTTCTCCGATAAGATGGAGACAGCTTGTTGTGGTATAATTTATTCATAGAATGTTGCTTACGCTAGAATCTTTTTGATGGGACAAACACGTTGTATCTATGAAACAAAAAATCTAGATATTCCAGCGTATGATTTGATGGAAAAGGTTGCCAAATATTAGTGCACTTTGATGTTTTACTTTGAACATAAATGTCAATGGGAAACAATAATATGAAGTTGAAGAAAAACAAAGACAAATTCTAAAGTCTAAGAAAAGACACGTCAGAGCTAATTTCAGATCGAGATGTTCCATACACAACATTAAAATACTTTGTTGCTTCAAGTTAGGAACACAAAACCCTAATATTAAGGTGAAAATTACCACTCGCCAATTTCAAAAGACAAAAAAAGAGCCAGAAATCAAGTTGTGGCAGGTACAAGAAGGCACTGACTGCTCCGTGAAGATGAAACAGAATTAATGATCTTAGCGTATCCATGTGTAAACATATGTATCCCATCAGACGCCGTTTACCTCTGAAGTCTTTTATACATTGCCTTCACTTCACTATGAAAGCTTTTCTCATGACAGCCATCTTGTCTCCATTTTGACAATACTTGTTCGAATGCAAAAAAAAAACTGTTCAATTCTGGAAGGAGCGAGAGTCCAAGTCTAAAGTTGATCCATTCCTGATGTTAAAGTGGGATGAAAGGCCATATTGACTGTTTTTCAAGTATTTTTTGTATAGCTATCTTGGAGGACTTTAGAAAATTGTTGATTTGCCAACACAGATCAGACAATCTAACAGTTCAAACACAGAAAACACATCCATAAAGAACACATAGAGCCATTGGTCCATAAGAGGCCGATGACCAACGCCAATAAATGTTTTTAAATGTCTTAGATCAGATCCACTGGCCTTAGACCCTCCTGCATCGGCAAGGAACTAAAAAAACATTGAGGGAGGAATCCATATTATAAATCCATATAACTAGCTCCTCGCTTCCAAAACTGTTTCATTCTATCACTTATTTTCACTAGATTCAAAAAGATAGGACCCTCTCTAAACCAATCAGCTCTCAGCAAAAAACATCACTGTATGCGAAAGATCATATGTTTTGTAAGAAGATGCAGATGTGTTGTGTTCTGATTTGTTCAAAACTTAATACTTTCTTTCTGTTGGAACAAAACCGTAATTAACGATTATTGGGTTAACTATTTCATTGGTCGACTGATTCTTTACATTAATAGATAAGTTGTTGAGATCCCGAAAGTGAATATGAGGTTTGTTTGTTTTAAACCTTTTGACCAAAACAAAGCTTAAGTGAAGCCCCCGAGGAGTCAAGTTTTTTGATTAAAAATACTTAGTGAGCTCATTTACATTATGAAACGATCTGAGTCATAGAACCATAAAACCTCTTACCAGCAAGCTGTAGGGTTCAAATGATGATTAAAAAACTAAATTAGTTACATCTATTATAATAATCAATTAGTTGTGATTAATCAATGAACTTCTCACAGCTCCAGTGTAAAGGTTCATTAAGATTGAGAGATTAAGATTAAGACATCTTTTATTCGTCCCACAGTGGCTAATCACGAGTTACTGAACAGTAGGAACGAGGAGCACACAACACAAGTAAATATTAGGTACAGCACAACCGTATACTTAAAGAAGCTATACCCGATTTATTTTCTAATGAGTTCATAAAAATGCTTATTACTACATACAAGTTGTATTATAATCCGTAATTTAATTGAAAACTTGAGCTCATTGATTTGGCTTGTGTATGATTTCAGGCCGTAAAAAGAGTAGAGACTTTAGCGTGACGCCCGCTCTCCTCCAATCACAGTACGAGGCTGCGTCCTCTAGCCTCTACAGCGCTGCTAAACACAGTAGCATGTTAGCAGAATTGGCTATAACTCCTCTGGCTGTAACTGCAGACACAGCAAAACAGCCCGAACAACACAACAGTGAGGAAGAGAAGAGGGAACTAAAGCGAAAAAATTATAAAGAAGAAATCAAGCCCGGTTGAACATAGCTTACATCGTATCCTCTGGAGAGACTTGTCTATGGGAGAGACCTGCGGGACCGCCTCGGACTATCTATGCTCGGACTACATTCGAACGCGGAACTAGCGGTAATCTTTCAGTTATATATTTTGTTAGCAGTGCGTTGCTTTTGTACCATTTCATCAGTGATTGTTGTACAGTTTACAAGAAGTCGCGCTCATGCTAATGTTTGCATATAGATCGCAAATAAAACTAGATGGCTCCGTGGGATGAGAACCTTGCAGAAACGGGTATAGCTCCTTTAAAAATATATATTATTATTAAGATTATTCCAATGTATTGAGCGTAAATGTTAGTGTTGTTCGGAGGACTCACTCGTTGAAGACCAGGTCAGGGGCAAAGTAGAGCATGTTGCTGTTGGTGAGCGTGTAAGACCTCCAGCCCAACGCAAACACCATCACGTTCATCCACGACAGCTGGATCACCGTCATCTGGTCGTCCACGTGCAGGTCGCGGAAACCTGGGCACATTCACAACAAAAACATCTCAAATGTCACATAATATCAGAGTCAGAATGAGTTTTATTGCCGTTACTTATTGCCCAGTCGTCTTTATTTTCACTACATTGGCTCCCAGATTTTAACATTTCACTTCTTGTTTTTTAAGGCCTCAATGGTCATCGACTCAGCTCCTACTGGAAGTACCTATAGAGCTAGGTCCAAACACTGGGGTCCTTCTCAGTCGCTGGACCCAGACTGTGGAACAAGCTGCCTCCTGAAATGCCAGTGCCTTTTTAAGTTGGGGCTCAAAACTAATTTATTCCGACTGGCTTTTATCACTTTGAACGCTCATTTTAATGCTTTGTTATAATTTTATTGTACATGATACGTCCTGCACAGACTGTATTATTAATCTTTAAAATGTTTGCACACTTCTGTCTTTTTGAACAATCTGAGTGACTCTATTTATGCCAAATGTGACATGTAGATTTCTCCAGTGTAAGATGAATAAAGTCTATCTTATCTAATCTTAAATGTATCTTGTTTATTGCTTTTTAACTGTTTTATGGTTAATTGCATGAATGATGATGAGTGATTTTATTGTAAAGCACTTTGGTCACCTTGAGTGTTGTCAAGGGCTCTATAAATACAATTTGACTATAGTAATTGGAAGTAACAGGATGCCAGAAAACTAGGAATGTTGTAGTTTAAATCTGGGGTACCTTATTTCTGCATGAATAATATGTGTTGTTTGCCTCAACAGAAATAGTCTTGTAAAAGCAAAATGTTGTGAACAAATCAGACCACAACAGCCCACACACACTGATGGAAATTGTGACAGAAGCAAAAAAACAACAGCAAAAAACAGTACATGTGCGTAAAAACCTGGGATAGAACCAAACTGTATCGTAAGTTAGGTACCCCAGCTTTAAGTTGTTACATTTCAGTAAAAAAAAAGTTGTTTTCATTTATTATTACTATGCCATATTATTGTTCTAGTTATTTATTATTTAATCTTGAATTTAGACACACAAAGTCCATATAACACAAAAACGACAACAAACAAACAATTTCACAAAATTATGTAAAGACAGTTACTCCAATTTCTGTACATTGTAGTAATAAACAAAATATGTGGTAAATATGAATAATTATGATAGTTGGTATATTATTTATAAGCTGAACAAAGACAGAAGATAATTACCAGGGGTTCAAAATGCATCGGTTAATTTTAAAGTGTTCTTCAGTAGTTCCTGTGTGCTCCCTCGGCAGTGCAGGCAGGGCACACCTCCCCCTGCTGTTAAGGGGGAAAAACAACCCCTGGAGCGACAAACTTATTTTTGTCGCTCCAGGGGTTACACAGGTACTTTCATTGGGTCATCCAGCCAACATTTTCGGCTTTACTGTTACACCTCCATCAATGGTGTAGGTATTTTGACTGAATCGTGACTTCGAATTAACATGGGTTTCCAAATGCGGACATGGTTAGACCGAAGCAAAGGCGTTTTATAACTGCAGACTGACAGGCTGAGTGTTGTTATTAATTGCACTATGGGTTGAAAGTTTTGACTGATTTCAAGTAACTGCTGTAATAACCTTGTGCGTTCCCCAAGAGGTGCCCGTACCTCATACCGCAATATTATATCAAAATGCACTGATATTAATTCATTTTTGTATCGTCCTAAATCGCAACCTCAGTGATCTCAAAGGACTGATCATAGTTGTGGATTTTCCAGCGCAGATCAGAGAATCAAACAGTTCAAACAAAGCAAATGCAATGAAAAAATCACTTTGAGCCATTGCGGCAGACGACCAATGCCCATCGATGTTAATACAATACATAGATATAATTACAGGTTTCATGTTCGCCTTTGTTATTAATTGGTTTGGCGGAGAACTGGTTGTAAATATTCAGTACGGTGAGTGAGTACACTAAGGGTACAAGAAGAAATGCGTCTAAACCCACAACATTCCACGTGAAATGTATGATTTATGAACACGAACATGGGACATAAATCTCTTTCACACCCTGAGCCTCCGCTTCAAAAGACAAAGGTGTTGACATTTATCTCTCAATGTGTCATTTTATTACTAATGAATGAGACAAGTCTGGGCTGGTGCTTTACTACCATGTCATTATCGGCCCATAACGAACTAGGAAGCACAATTACGGACGTTACCAAATGTTCTGGCAAGTGTTTCAATCAAAAACAAAAGCATGCGATCTAACCAGTCGTATGCACACAAAAATGGGGTACCTAACTTTTAAACCACAAGAAAATATAACTTTTTAGTAACAAAATTCCTCGATTTCCTTGCTATCAAAAAAGTTTTAGCGTTAGTTATTGACGCCCTATGTCACATCTTTAGATTTGCCTTTTTTCCAGGCCAAAAAGTGAAAAAAGAGAGGACCGCTCTTATCCAGCCAATCAGCTCTCAGCATCAAACCATCACAATTTGACAGAGACGGAGAGTATGCAAAAGATAGCATGTTTTTTCAATAATTCAGATTTGTTCACATTTACTTTCTGTTGTCAATAACCACAGGTGTTACATTTTAGGTACTTCAGCTTTAAATTTGGCTGTAGGCGATTGTATCTTATACTTGTAAAACTTTAATAAACTGTGTAGGAAAAGTCAGGCAGAGTTCAGGCACAATACAATGCAGGATATGAGCCAGAACTTACATCGTAAATGCAAAACAGTACAAATATCTTTTACGGGCAACTCGGTACGCTCGTAAATATACTACATGTAAAAACCGTTTCCTCTCTGAACAAGTGTAGTCTTTTATAGAACAACATTTTGTAGGGAAATCATACCAAAGCCACCACAAGACAGCCATAATGAGGAGCTAGCGTGGGCAAAGGTCGCTGGTTGAACAAAAGAAGACCGGAATAAAAGGTAGTCATGCAAAAAACAATATGCAAATACAGTCAAGGGCTAATAATTATATGTAAAATGTTTGTAAATGAATTCGTATGACCTTACAATTGCCTTGTCAGAAAAGTCAACGTCGTCCCAGTGAAAGAAAATGTATAAAATCAAATGTGAGATCAACGGTGGCGGTAAATGCGCTGTCAAAGGCAGAAGTGGAAGAAATCGCTGTTTCATTTTGACATTTTTTAACCTTTTTTTTTCTACAATGGAGCAGCATGAGTTTGGCAAAAATCTAAAGACAATTTTTCGCAGGCAACGATTGTGATTTGATCCACGATTAATGTTCAAGAAGTAATTAAGATTAAGTAGGGAAGAGACGCACACAGCGAAACGAAAACTCTAAACTCAAATCAAATCACTAACTTAAGCATAACAAAGAAGGAGGTATAAAATCTTGTCTTTAGTGTTAATAAAGGAGGTATAAAATCTCTATCTATAGCATAATTAAGTAAATAATTAATTTCGTTCGGTGTGCATGTTGCAAAGCATGCCAAGGACTTAATTATTTTTATTATTATTTTATTATTATATTTATAATTTATTTTTATTACGTTGTGAATTTTTTATTTGATTAAGTTTTTTTATGTGAAACGGAAATAAGGCGGCGCCCTGAAACGTCACAAGAGCTGGAGGACTGCTAAAATCAAGAACAAAGATACAGAAAAGATCCTTCTGTTTTTAAATCTGACTTGGTTTCTGTATTATTTTCATCTGTATGTTTTTAAATGTGAAGCGCTCTGTGATCCTGGTCCGTGAAAGGCGCTATACAAATAATCTTTACTCACTTACTTTAAAACTGTGTGAAAAAGTGGGAAGCCAGGCTACTGTAAAGAAAGCACTTTTATATGTTGTTACTCTTTTCCAATTAGACTAGCTTATTACTGTATGAAAATAACATTTGCCAAAGTTGATTTACCTATGCAGGAAAATATGCAGGAAAACAATTGTCGCAACCCAGGTAGAAAGCACTGTATAAGCACATTTTTTGTGTGTGCCTTTTTCCAATTTGAGGAGCTTATTACTGTATGAAAATAACATTTGCCAAAGCTCATGATGTCTTGTTTGACCTAAAAAATGAGAAAACAACAGATGATCCAACGAGCCCGAGTCCAGTAGTGCCCGCTGTTTTGCCGGTCCAGAGACAACAGCTTTCTGGCTCTCATGAGAACTTTGCATTTGAAAATAATTTTGTCGTCTAAACGAGTCATGAGAAGGCTTTGGTGGTGGCGCTGGTGAACCCCCAGGTCTTGTGCGGCGCTGAGCCAGTCTCCTGATATAACTGTCTTTGTATGAGCTTGTCTGATTGTTTTTTTGCTTTTATGTGTCACGTCTTTTGGTGTGTGTTTGTGTTTCTGGTTCTGTCTTTTGTAGTGAGGACCTAGAGACTGAATAGAGACATAGTTATAAGGTTATCAAAATGAAAAGGCAAAATGTAAGAATATTCTCACATGAAAATAAATCCATAGATGTATTTTTCAAAGTGATTTTCTGTATCTTGTTTGTTTTGATCTGCTGTATGAAAATATAACGTTGAAATACTTACTTACTTATATAGAGAGTATCTAACTTTTTTACATGTTATATTTTACATACTGAAAGCTGATTGGCTGAGTGAGGGTTGGTCTTTTCACTGTAAAAAAATAAATAAAAATAACATCTAAAAATTCAACCAAAAATCCATGCATGTGACAGAACTAAACAGTTTTGAGAGTTAAGAGTTAGTTATATTGGTTGTATTGCATAGTTGTTTACTGCAGCTTTAAATCCAAATTTTGGGCACACAAACACATGCATTTTTTCCAAACTAACGAGTCAACTTTTGTATTCATATTGCAGCCCTATCCTCCACACTGTCCATTATGCTTTGTGCCATAGTAAATGAGGTCGCAGCGCCCTCCAGTGGCCGCAGTGTGAACGTCTTGGCCGGCGTGTGCGTTGCCTGTGGTTTGTCCAAAGCAGAAACGCAACTGCCATAAACTTTTGGCACGGCGGTGATTGTGGATCGTAATCTTGTTTTCTGAGGTTGACATTGTGCCGGCAGCAGATTTCTTGTGCCTTATTGAATATTCAACGTGTAGCA